GGGGGTTGGCAATCCGGATGTCCGAAATTTTAAAAAATTCAAAAACAAATTTCTTTTTCCCTCTATTTTGAGCAGTCCTTCCCATTGTGAAATTGGCAATTTGACTCGCGGTTAACACTAGATTTTGTTTTAATTAGTAATTTATATGTTTTTGTGTTCACATTTACAGTTATAAAAAAGTTCTAAAAGTAAAAAAGTTTTTTACTCTTGATATATACAAGGTTGCGTGAGTTTTTGCGAGGCATGGCAGATGTCCGGGGGGAGGGGGGGGGTCACTAATTCGGACAATGTCGGACAAAGGGGGGAGGGGGGGTCTGAAAATCCATCATTTGGCCGGACATCCTTTGTGAATGGCCCCTTACATGTTCAACATCTTTCCCATGATGGGTAAAATATTCTGCTTTAACAAAGTAAGAAAACAGAGTAGGCCCCATTGTGGCTTGATAGGTTAATTAGCTGAGGAAAGAGATGATTACTCCGGTGTCACAGCGGCTTTGGACTCCCCGCGGATATGGACCCCCCGGTCCATATCAGCATAGACAATCCAGAAGACATGTCTAGGACCTGTATAGATGTTTGTATGCGTTTCATTTAGCACAGGTAATCTCAACTGTTTTAGGGTAAAATGACCATGGCGGTCAACATAGCATATGTGCCAAAACCTGAATCCGGGGCAAAAGTCCTGAAAATGACCCCGCCCTGAAACGGCAGTGCCGACATAGCTCTAACTTCCGAAAACTCGGCGATAAAAAGGAAACAAGGAAACTGAAATGGTGTTTTCGTGGGGGGTGAGTGAATTAAATTATGTATTATATTTAATTAAAGAAAACAATGACAATCCTTATGAAAACTACAATAATTATATTAAATTAAGCCAGGGGTCTTCACCCCTTTTTTTCGGCGACCCAAACCCAAGCTTCATAGGTGTCCCGCGACCCTGAACACTGCCAATAAAACTTTCGATAATTAAAAACATTGTGGCTTTTCACCGAAAGCTTTCCGAGTGTATGACGACGACTCTACTTCGGAAGACGACGTGCGCCGAAGGCGCGCGAGTGGTGCTAAGCCATAATGTTTGAGTTACATGAAGTAAAAGGTATTATATCTAAAGCTTTACCAGTTTACCTGTTTACCATATTATTCTAGCAATCTAGCGCTTGAGTGCTTCATAATAATCGTGAAAAAAACATTATAATCGCAAATTTCGCAAGGAAATATTCATATGTAAATATGTGCATCTTATCACTTGATCTCTCGTCTTGTAAAGTTTACTAGTGTAAGTTCGCGACCCTAGACAAGCATTGCGACCCATGCGACCCAAGACAAGCCTTGCGACCTTCGAGGGTGTGCT